GAGCCATGGAGCCCTACAGTGCAAAGGCGAATGTTGATCGGTATCCATTCGAGAAAGGCGGCTTCGGCTCTGGCACAAAGGGTAAGCCCAACACCAGTTTGCGCAGAACCTGTAGCCTCGGCGTCTCCAGGAAGTCAGAGGTGGAAAGGGGTATAAGGGTGAATTCATAAAGTCAAGGGGTAGACTGTGCTGGATCCTGAAGCCGTGTTTCGGACAAACAACAGACATCAATTACACAAGTTTCTAGATTGCACGTGAGACCAACTTGTTGCGCAACCGGTTTTAAGGTACGCACGTTGAACGCCGCCAAGTTGAACTGGATCTTCGGTTGTAGAAGCGGAGAGGGGATAATCCGGGATCGTTCAATCCCGGATTGGCGCTGTGTCAGTATATCAGAGGATGGTGCGGCAACAGTGAGATCGGAGGAAGCAGTGCTCCTCATCGTTGATTTATCAGACAAAAACGGGGAAGAATTCTACAGGGGACGAGTAGATAAGCGAGTAAGGTGTGACGGAAGAGTGTTTGCAGTAGTATCATGGGACAAAGCATCAGTAGAGCGAAGGGTGCAGTTCAGTTTCACGGTTCGTCGGTAGGCGAGGTACTGCCCAGTTGCCTAGGCCGAAGTAGGGGCTTGTCTTAGGGAGCCGCCACCCCGAGCATTTGGCTCAATAGCCTACCCGCAAGGCAGCGGGGCGCATTCAGCGAATCGCGTCCATTGGAAGCCAGTGACCGATTACTCGGTTCATAAGCTTTTCGTTTGGTTAAGTACCAAACAGGGACCCAATCCTCCACACGATGACAGCATCTGGCAGTTGGAGCACAATGCACTACTAGAGTGAAGCAAGGGGCAGTGACTCTATTTAGTGGCGAGTCAAATCCGCCACGTCGCAGTGTTGTTAAACCGACATATGCGGCTTTTTATAGGGAAAACGCTTGCCGGGCGAAAACCCACTACGTCCTATAACACTGCCGCTGAACCATTCGCTGGAACGGGAAAATCCCGAACCATCCAGCTGACAACAGGGGGAAGTTGTTCGGCAGGCCAACTCTATGATAGATTTTCCCATTGATTCTAGAATATCCCCGCTTTTTAGATAGGGTTAACCTGTTTCAAAACAAAAGCGATATATTCTGGCCACCAAACGTTATTAGCAAAATTAGTCGACCAACAGGTCAAGCATGAGAGGAAGACCGTAGTCGATCAATATGATATTGAATGACGCCGCAGTGGAATTGCACCGTGCCTAGTTATCCGACATCAGTGGGAGCGCTAAGCTTAAGTGTGCCGCTTGAGATAGTAGGTAAAGTGCAAAGGTTTTGATGAAGATTTGTCGCAGCTAGACCCAGGCAGACAGGAAAGCGCCTTCCTGGATGTATAGTGGCTGTCTGCCTGCGTCTATCTGCGATGAATTTTCACCAAAACTCAGTAAATCCCCTACTACTCCTTAAAGTGGAAATCTGTCCATTCCTGACGTTTCCTATTACGGCAGGCAGTACTATGCATGCCACCGATTTAGCTTGGCTGTCGTTTATGGCCTTCAGTAGCTTGACTAAGGCTTTAGGTTTACTGTCATGAGTCATTGCTCGCTTTTCCTCTGCTAGTAGCCTTGTGAGACAATTCCACTACAATTAATCAAATAGCTTATCCTGTATGATAAGCAAAGTGAAGTCGCGAGTTTCTTTTATATTTGAGCGTAGTATTTTCAGCTTACGCAGGTATGCTTTGCGACTAGTTTCTGTGTAAACCTGTCAGGTCTCAGTACGAAAGGAGCATGGATATGAGGGGAGTGTTGGACATGTGTCTAGGTTTCGTCTGCTGCAACCTTTGGATCTCTGGTGAGAAAGCAGAGATCACAGTTCGTTTTTCGCATTGGTATAGCAAATAATCCCCAGTTTACATTACTAAGGTCCCTACAGGGTTCTGTTAGCAGTCTTATGTTATCAGATTGGGTGCCGCGAAACTAAGGTACGCGATTCTGTTATCACTAGCGAAGAAACGAGATAATACATCGACACGTGTGGGGGTGTCTTGATCAAAAATGTGATCTAAAAGCTTGTTTTCCCTGGTAGGTTTTTACATCACTTGTGTCCATCCTTTGGTCCGGACTTCGGATACAAAGATCAACAACCTTGGTGGCTCTGTATACTCTATCCATGAAGTCTCTGGTAAATTAAAGTCAATCCCGCTTGTCTTTTGACTGGATTGCAACTCAGAAGCAAGTTCAAAAGCAGAAGTGAGATATACCAAAAGTAAGGCATTATACAGAGGTGGATTTTAAAATACATCCGACAAAACTTAGAGTAATTTATTTCTATAGAGATGCACACGATACATTTATGTTACTGAGTCGCGACTCTATCATTAATTGAGCACGCAGCTGGTCCCGCGCATAAATAACACATCCGCCCCTCTCACCAATCAGTCGGCTGTTCATGAATGATAAATAGCTCACTATTTGATAGAACTCGTTTGAGGTGTGGCGGTTTTGCCAAGTTTCAGTGATGTTTTCAGAGAGTACTTAGATGACGCCAAGTATTCATTTGGTTACTTAGAGAGCAAGCACTAATAAGGAGCAACTTGCTAGTGCTTTTCTTGTGTAATAGAGCTAGGACGTCATTGCTGAATAGGGGTATGGCATCGCTGTTGCATGCATCGGTAGCCATAGTGAGGTTGGTGGTGGAAACCCCGAGGTACTGAGGTAACAGTACGACTGGCATAATTGTGCTAGGTTTGGAAGCTGGTTAAAAAATAGAGATGTTTCACTAGATTATCAAGACTGTGCACTAGGAGTGGCGGCGGTAGGTTACCGCCGTTGCCAAAAGTTGTGTTTGGGTTTCGGGTTGCACCTATTGTTAGTAAGTAAAGTTACGTGGGGCAACAGGTGCTACAGGGTGTTCCCTCAATCATTCAGACTTTGCTATGTTGTTTTCCGGTGAGGTAAAAGTTAGGTCACTAAGTGATATGAACTATCTCAGGATCTGACATTGGGCGTACAACGGTTTATTGTCAGATGGTTCTAATAAACGGTGCAGCAGTGGGGTTAGGGTGATCCGAAGACGGCGATTGGTGTCTTGTGCCAGAGACCAGGTGCCCCTTTAAAGTTAGGTTCTCTCTAAGTATTCGCAGACTATGTCCACTTTGTACACAGTAGATATGTTTAAAGCCAGGCTTTGTTGGGTTAGCATTTATCCGGAAAGCACCCCTTCCCTGTTTTGGCAACGGTTCGATAAGTTTTAGTTATGTGGTCGGGCTATTATCTCGAGTACTATTTTCACTTGGCATGGATGGTGCGGTCTTTAACTTGCTAGTATCGGTGACAACTCTTTTTTGCCGCAATAATTGTGGTTTTTCTTCATATGGTCTGACTACAATGATTAATAGTTATCTTATGTTGCACCGTAGTATGACTCGGGTTTACATGCTGCACTCAAAATGCAGCCGGCATTCCAAACTCAAATACTAAATGATTAATGCGTTCATTCTTAGAAATGCAGTATCTACGGAATGGTGCCACTTTTTTCAAAGCATGTTTGTGTCTTCTGTGGTTTTAGCTATATGAAAGACAACTGAAGGAAACTAATCCCAATAAGGAATCAGTTGCTTTGGCTGGAAGTACCTGGGCAAAGAAGCCTGCGGTGTGGAAAATCAGAGCGAAAACAAACAGTAACATCAATTTGGAAAGCTTGACATACATATATGAAACAGAAAATATAGTGACCAACTGTTGAAACCACGTGAACAGATGTTCTCATACCGATGACTTATCCTCTTGTCATATCTGGATGGGCCTTGTGCTCCATAGTTAAGAAGACAGCGTGCACCGACTTGTCTTGCTGTTCCACTCTGCTTCTTTATTCCAGTTACAATCTCATTGTTTGTTGATCACTTTGTGGTTTAACTGTAGTGAGCATTTTGTACTAGCAGTTCACTGGAGCATGCGGAATGCACTTGCTAAGTATCCCCACACCCTTCAGCACCACGTGTTGCCCGTCAGTTTGACCATCAACTGGAGCCTTCGCTACATGACAGAATGCAGACCGTAGCCTCTACTTACTTCCCTCATTTAGCTGAGCTAGGGTACGAGTATAGTTTTGAGAACGTATGTATTTATGGTTTACTGCATCTTGCATACCTATACGCTAACCAATCGTGTTCTCCAGTCGTCTAAAGTTCGCTAAGCCATATGTTCTCACCAGTTCTCAATAACATGTCTCATATATATATATATGTATTTTTATTTGTTTTTTGATCTCCTTTACTCGTTGTAGCCTACTCTTATAACATAATAGATCCGGAACATGGCAACGTTCAAAGTGTAAAGGTGGTCTTTATTGTGGCAGTTATCATCATTATAACGTTTTCTACTAATGACATTACCTTGGATTTGTCTAGAAATGTGTGGGTTGTCATCTTGGTAATTCATTTCTGTTTTTCGAACACATTATTGCGCATACAGTCATGCTCTCTAATCCTATGTAACTCCTGTAACTTCTTTTCCGACTATTCCAAACAGGCCTCATAGAACCTATTCAATCTGGGCATCCACACATTACCACTATGCTTTATCAGTATACTATTTGTCCAGTAGATAAACACACGAAATGTATCCTACTTGAAAGTCCAGTAATTAGGCGTGTCTCGTGCACTTCGATAATAAACTATTTATTCATTTATTTGCTTATTGCAGAGCTCGAAAGAGAATAAATTGCTTCGCAGCCATACTACATTATTTCGTGATGTGTTCGTTTAAGCTATTCGTCCGTTACTGACCAAGCACACTTTGTTTTCAGAGGCTCACCGTCTTCATCCGATCATTTGCATCCTTAGGTTACCTCTTCCGGTTTACGTTTGCCATCGTACGTGTGGCCGGTTTCCTTTGCTACAGTTCTGTTTATAGTTCGCATTAGCTTATAATGATAACACCAAGATGGCTGCTAGTGGTTGCTGTTAACACTGCTCTCTCTCATGTCACCCCACTCCCCATTTATACCATTCTCAGGTGGACTGGCGGCTGTAATATACACTGACACTTTGCAGTTTTTCGTGATGATTTTGGGCGCTTTGGTCTTGGCGATTCTCAGTAAGTTGAATGTTGCACAGGTATCACTGAGTGCCCCATCATCATCATTATCAACAACAACAATAACAACAACAACAACAACAACAACAACAAAGCAGTATATCAGCCATTTGAACTGATGCTTCGCTGCCATACAACCATGAGGACCTATGAAAAAAAGAATACGAAGAGGGAGAGAAGGGGGACTTACCTAATAATCGTAATACCCTAAGCAAACTTTCAGGGTCAAGGCGCCTACACCTTGTGTAGACAACATATCGTCACAAACAGCTGGCTATTGTGCAAAGATACGGCGGCATCGGCGAGACAGCTTCCTTGCGACTTTCACTGCCACGCGTCATAATCAGCCATTGCCCCGTAGATAACTCAGCACCAAACACACTTTAAACAGGCAATCCGATAAGAAGACGGCAGCAGACGTGCCACTGATGTCGGTTGCGAGCCATGTCCTGTAAAGTCTCGAGCCAAGCACAAGGCGAGTCATGTGGACTCCAGCCCGGAGGACGAGACGGACCAACGGCACCCAGTTTGGTCGTCAGTGACTTCATTTCCCGCTGCCAAGTCAACTTCTGTCCACCTCGAGCCGTGCGCCACCCTACACCTGGCAGACTAAACAAGGCCCTGCTAGGTAAGCGGTGACCAGGCATACTTGGCACGTGCCATAGCCAACGCAACTTACTCAGTGCTATCTGTTGTTCTAGGGAGCTAGCATGATTATCACCACCTAGTACTTACCTACGCACATCATCGTTGCGGACACGCTGATGCCACCCGACACCAGCAATGCTTCGCAGACACCGATGATCAAAGACTTGAAGACGCCTCAGCTCTTCAGACAACGGGCCAAGTCTCACTACCATAGAGCAGAGCGGTCCTCACTGTGAGCTTGTATGCACGGTCTTTCAGACGGAAGGAAACTCCCTTCTGTCGCCAAAGATGACGCAGGTTCAAGAAGGTAGCTCTGACTTTTGCAACGCGTGAGCTGACGTCAGTTTCTATGTGCCCATAATTGCTGATGCAGCTGCCAAGATAAGTGAATTGATCAACCACCTCGAGTTCCTCGTTAGCAAGCGTCAAGGGGTCATCAAGTGGCTGATGGTCTTGCAGCAACACTTTGCACATTGAAGGTGCAAAGCGCATACCAAATAATGGGACCACTCTAGACATGCTATTCGGGGTTGATTGTGCCGTCGCAACATCGTCGAAAAGCAACACGATATCGTCCGCATAATCTAGGTCAACTAAACTTTCACCAGGCAGCACTTCAACGCCTACATCGTGAGATTTTGCAGGGGAACACACCATGGTAGAATCCACGACGAAATTGAACAAAAATGGGGAAATCGGACAATCCTGACAAATGCCACCTGTGGTCGGAAAGTTATCCGATAGGACACCGTAGATCCTGACGCGGCCTGTAGTGTTCGGGTATAGAGCACGAAGGATGTTCACATATTTTATGGGAACACCTTTTCGCGCAAGTATTTCGAACAGAACACATCGCTCGACTGAAGCGAACGCACTCTTGAAATTGAGGAACACGGCTACTGTCGATCTGCGGTATGCGTGGCGCTGCTCTAGCACCTGCCGCAAAGTGAATATATGGTCTATACAGCCACGCCCTGGGCGGAAACCGGCCTGCTCTTCCCTAATCCGAGATTGCGATTCCGCAGTGAGGCGACGAACGATAATCGAGGCCAGTAATTTTGTCACAACTGGCGTTAGACTAATACCCCCTGTGGTTAGAACGGTCTGTGCGACTACCCTTCTTATATATTACCACTATAATCGATTCGTTCTAATCAGTCTGGACACTTTCTTCTTTCCAGATACGTTCGAATAGGGAGGTCAGTGCTTTGCAGAGGACCTCACCTCCATCCTTAAATAGTGCAGGTGGGAGGGAATCCGGGCCAGCGGCACGAAAACGATTGAAGGCTGTGATCGCGTTTCGGACCTCGGCCTCCGACGGAGACTCTAAACTAACTGTCCATGGCTCGTCCTGCATCACCTGAGTAGGAAGAGGTCCGGGAGCAGGGAGCCAGCTGAACTGATCTTGAAGGTGTTCCGCCTAACGAGCCATACGGTGCTGCTTGTTGTATATCAGTGCACCCGCGCTGTCTCAGATTGTCTCACCGACGCCTTGTTTCCTGGGACCAGTGGTGCGGACCAGCTGGACGTGCTTGCGGTAATTGCCTACTGCTCCTGCCTCCTCCATTTCTTGAGCCCGAATGGTCCACCAGGATTCTTTGTCAGCACGTAGACTCCAATTTAGCGCGTCTGGGTACATTGTGCTCAGAGACAGCCGGTAGGTTGCTTCTAAATTCCAACAGGTTCACAGACCTCTCGGATGTCCAGTGACTGGTGCGGTGACAACTGATAGTGCCACAAGCAGATGATCCTACATCCTGCATGACGGCCGAGATCCTATTCCCCTGAAGCTGTCATTAAAACAAGACAGCGAAAGTTCAATATGCAGTGCTTCTTGATAGGCTTGCCTGACCGAGGGCTGAGACAATTCCTGAGTTGCCGATCGGAGGAGACGCTTGGTGTGCCACTCGGTAAAGTTCATGGAGAAACGACAGTGTACCAAGATATGCTCAGAGTTGACACAGGTATTCCAGTACGAGCAGCAATCCAGGCTGGAACCACGCCACCTGTAACCTATGGCTATGTGGTCAATTTGGACCCATCGCTGGCCAACTACAGGGGGACGCCAAGTGGCAATTCAGCGCCCACTGTGTCTAAAAGCAGTGCTACTAAGAAACAACTGGTGCTCCCTATACAGTTTTAGCAGACGCTCGCCGTTGTCAGTCCGTTAGGAGTTCAGCCCATAATTACTACCTAGCTGAGCTTCTGAAGGGCTCAGACGCCCTACTTGTGCGTTCATATCCCCTGTAAGTACTACGATACCTGAACTAGTAGCACTGCGTAGTAGCGCGTTCAGTTCGTCACCGAATGTGTCCTTGACAGCATTAGAACTGCAGTCGGTGGGGGCATAAGCGGAAATCACAAACAAACAGCGTGTTGTACTACTTCGTGAATCAACCTTAGCTGATGTCGTCAAACGGGCTGCACATAAACGGCTGTTCACCGGAATCCAGTCAACCAGCGATGGCTCAGCCTTGGAGCTTAGGATGATACTTACACTAGCTTGACCCGTGAGTGCTGCATCGGCGTCTCCGGATGCGTGCAACCAATAACGAGAGGACAAGCCGGGTGCAGTTAATTCAACAACCCCATTAGGATCATTGATCCTAGTTTCGGACACACAACACACATCAATACCCCGTGTGTCCAAGGTGCGTGGGAGTGCAGCCTGTTAACTTATTTTTCTAGGAGTGCGAACGTTGAATGTTGTTATGGCAACGGCCTTATAAGGGACTGTTGCCGATAGGCGTCCGGTGCGTGTCACGAGAAGGTGGCTGCAGATGGTTCTACTCCAGTGGCATTTCGGTTGCTGTCACTTAAGCTGGGAATTATAGAAGAAAGGTTAGTATTGGGGGTCGGGGTGGGAGTGAGAGAAACAGGTGGAAACGACAGAAGGGAGACACCAGCAGTAGCATGTTTGCTCCATACATGTGCTCCATGCGATTGAGTAAACCACACAACTGATATACGCAGACCTGAGCTTTGTCTTAACTAGATATCATGAGATGTGACTTATTACAACACAGTTTTTACAGACTTCCGTCTTTTGTCTTGAATGTTATCTATCTTCTTAGTCATTTTATGGCATCAGATATTGACTTCTATCTGTATAATGTGTGTCCTGCGGTTTTGATCGGGATACTCTTTTTCCATAGGCTTCATCAAAGTTGGCGGATTTTCCGGCGTGCTCTCGTATTACGGCCAAGCCATTGCTGCCATTGACCTGCAGTCCGATCAAGGGGCAAGCCTGCTCATTTCGCTTGCCAACGCTTCTTATGACACTGCTGTTTCTCTGGCTGATTTAGCCTCAGTCCCAGGCATTGATCCTGGTCTAAGCTGCAGCTTACCTGCTCCTAAAGCATTCAAGCTTTTGCGAGAAGTGGACGATCCAGACATGCCTTGGCTCGGCTTTTTACTTGGACAAACTCCGGCCTCTATATGGTATTGGTGCGCTGATCAGGTGAGCACATTTTCACAAAAATCGGTGCCATTTATTTTAAATGATCGTCTTCTGTTTACCGTGTAAACTGGTATGTGTTACAGGTTCCGTATTGCCTTCCACTACGGCAGAGCATTCGAAACTGGGCTGCGAACTTATTTGGCTTATGCTGCTGATGCGGTTTCTCGTCCGAGTGCCGTGCTTATTTACCACATCGCCTTTTCATCCGCATTCGATAGTTTCCCTTTCTTTTCCGACAGTCAGCTGCTCTTGTCTTCCAAGGCCCTTCAACTCTAGATATCTGTTTGAACCATATTTCATATCCAGGCGCTAGAGTATGAGGCCATCTAGGTTCGTGTTTGTGACGTGTCTTTCGCCGCCGTGAACGCTTTCGAAGACGGTCTTGCAGAAGATTAGTGGAAATTTTTCAGGTTGCAAATCTACGGTGGCTCCAGTATCTGCGGCTGAACTATTTGTCCTTGAATCACCAGTTTTACATTAGTGCATCCCTCCCCGTCATGATCCCACTTGTTATTTACTGAAATCACTTGCGCCTCCAGCTGATTCACACTAACAAGTGACCTAACGTTGGTCGATCGACAGCAACTGGCGAAATGGTTTAACCGGCTTCCACAATAATCACAAAATCTTCCGAAGGTTTCTGAAAAATCCGCTTCTTGGTCGTGTTCAGAGCAATTCCAGGCGTCTTGTATCCGCATCGCATCCTGGCCGATGGCGTACCTGAACATGGTTAGCTGACATGATATAGGATATTCATTCAACTCGAGCAGTGTCTCGAAGTTCAGCCACTTCGCTCTTCACAGGCGCTAGTTGTCGAGCAGCGAACCCTCCGTCATCTGTAGTGGAGTCGGTATCGCTACAACGGCTGCCAGCCAAATCAAAGCTGCTGATTGCTCCTCGGGTTCTTCTTTTCCTCTGTCACCATGTTTACTTATAACAGACCCCATACTCACAGGTGCAATATATTTGGATCTCGCGCTTACCACCACAGTTGAGCCATAAAACCGCTAAAATATACTTCTTTGCCCGGGTTGAATTTCCCCCATCGACATCGTTTGCTGCTGTCCTTTAAGCTTCAAAGGTTTTTAATTGTGTCCATTCTTTTTACAATATCTACACTCGATAGATTCAAACACACCACAACTTTACGAAATGCCGTTTTACCTTAGCTGATTCTGTGGTCGCCGCAGCTTGCAGCCTATCTATATTCACTCGCTGTCCGGTGCTAGTCACTTCAGAAGTATAGAACTTGGAATGCTTTGCGGCGATTCATTTTCGGGGATCTTGGGAGTTTCTTACATTATCAATTCCCCTTACAGGTAGACATTTTGCTTAATTTTATCTATCGCCTACTGCAACTTGCTTTGTAAACGTCGAGACGGGATTTACCGTTCTAAAAATCATATATGTTTCGCATCGTGTTTACTTCACCATGGACCGTGTGAACTCCTATGTGATGTCAAAGACTTTATATCATGGTAACTAAACCGATCTATGTGGTTTGTTTCATCCATTATCGGCTTTGGGCAGTTTGTGATTATTCGTTGTACCTCAGCATGGCTGTATTCGTTGCTGGCAAATTGCGATATAACTTTTAAGAGGATCACCTCTATTCAACATTCTTCATTGTTAAGCAACACAAGCGCCTCAAACTCACCGTCGTTCGGAACAAACTTGGTCACCTTTGTTTGTATGTATTGTATAGCTGTAATGGATTACTTCTGTTCCAAATGACGAGTTCAGGAGGTCGAGTTTCCGACCCTCGTACCTGAGCTTAGCTCCCTTAATATTGCTCATCATGAAACTCAAGTAGTTATCCAGTTTAGTTCCACTTTTATCTTCATGGACGCCCAACATGTTGATAATTTTTGTAATTATTTTTTATTTTGAATACCGAAAGGCACGGCGGCATCAGCGGTAGTTTTTACCCACCTCTTTTAGAAAGAATTCTGTCTTAAAGTCGATATGAATGTTCAATGCTGCTGCTGATAATTCTGCCTTTCAGATGATGGTTCAACGTGTTCTTGCAGCGAAAAGTTTGTCGCATGCTCAAGGCGCAACGCTGATGGCCGGAGTGTTCAAACAATTGCCTCTTTTTATGATGGTTGTCCCGGGCATGATCAGCCGCATGCTTTTTCCAGGTAAGCTCTGGAGCCTCTTCATTTACTCAATGGGCTGCAGGGAAGTTCATAGAGATTTGCACTTGCAAATGTGACATTTTTCCAGAGAGCGTTACATTTGCTCGAATCATGTCTACGTAGTAATAAAAACTTTAGTGCAGCTTACGAAACCACGCGTAATAGATCACTGCGGGAATCGGGAACCAACTTGTGACGTTGAGGAAATAAATGTGCACTCGATCGGATCTCGTTTTGATTTCACTAGACCCCACTTTTGATCTCACACTACGCCTGTAGGCCTTGTCTTAAAAGTAGAGTATTTCATCTGCTTTCACATCACTGTGTACAGGAGAATGGCATACCTACCGATTGGTAAGATATCTAACGCCCTCAGCATCTTATATAGTGTCAAGTCAATCCTTGAGTGTCGTTGACAATGTGAATTTGTGATGGCGTGTTGTGTTATGGGACGTTATCTGCACTCAGAGACAGCACTGCCTGTGTTGACTGAAATTGGTGGGACCAATCTAGGTAGCTTTCTGGCCATCTAGTTAGCATAAAATCGTATTGCTACATTATCCGCTCCTGCCTCCATACTGTTAATGCAACTAGGAGCACCTTGTTAAAACCTAATCAAGAGAGACCCTTTCCATCTTTTGTTAATTTTGTCCTCAGCCTTATTCTTTTCTTTACAGCACAACCGCCAGCAGGATTAACATGTTTGGAAGATTCACCAGTCAAGGGCCTCATAACTAGTTCAAAAATCAAGTGCAAACTTTCCGTTAGGCCTTGGATGATTTTCACCTGCTAAGTTGTGCACCTGTTTTTAATGCTGAAGGTGTTCAACGTCGCGTGGTTTTTTATTCCGTACTTTTGCTCTCCGCATATTTTGATGTGCTCACATTGAAATCATAAGCTACGACGGTGCGCTTGTTCGGTGACTATAGCTTTGGAGCAATGGATGATAAAGTTTGCAATGTGTTATTTTATGTGAGACATACCTGAGGCCAACTCTAAGACATATGTGCACGCAAGGCACTACTATGGATACGAGGGGGCCGACCCAAGACTATCTTGTGCTATTTGCTATTAAGTCTACAACCCATCAGCGAGGATTCCGTTCAATTATGCACCTTATACTCAATCTCCAAGGTATCGAACCTCATGGGTAAAGCGGTGTTTACTTGGAACCTTTGATAGATGTTATGCCTGAGTTTGTAAAAATTTCATGAGGACTTCACGCAGCGGTTGAATTAAATGTCTTATTCTCGAAGCTATCGGGACACAAACGGCTGCATCTCAGTGGGTAATTACTAAATCTCCAGACTTGACCGGATGTTCTTCGGTCAGTATGCGACCGTCTGCGAACGAGCACACAAGAGCGATGTACCTCGATTCTAAACCTGAACATCGGTCGCAAAGTGGCAAACCACCTGGTTCTATCAGTTCCCTCACTCGAGTTTGAATGTGGACTCAATTATATGTGAGTTATCCTCCCCGCGTTTGAGGTACAGTGATTACCACTTCCCTTCGCTGTCGAATACCACAGTAATGCAGCGCTAATCAAGTTGACACAACGACGTGTGTGGGTGGAGAAGCAAAATTGCTGCCCATTACTCGCACTTATCGTGCCTATATACCGAGTTTACCACCGATTCCAGACACTGCCAAAGCTTTTTCTTAGCTGCTTTTGTCGGGTGATCGCATATTTTGGCTGCTCTGTGTAAAGTTCACAGTTACCGGACGCAGCGGAATAGTCACCATAAGTTTGGAAAATAGTAGACGACTACTTCGGACCTACGAAACCCTGACCATGCCAGTAGCTTGAAGTCTCAACTCTGCCCTACTAGATAGGGGTTAAATCCTTTTACCATGGCGCATGCAAGCGCTCGACGTAGCTAGCAGTCTTGCGTGATATAATGTGGTCTACGCGCCACTACCATGCGGGCCAATACTGTGCGTTCTCCACACGTTCTTCTCCACCGTTTTTACCCCTAGTAAAAGGACAGCAGCAGTACGGCGATACGCAGCGGTACCGACGCTTCACTGCCAAGCAACCACCACCAATCGCGCGATGGCTAAGGGTACTGCGTGGGTCGCCCTGTTCCTAACGCAGATTCCAACCCTGCGACATCCGGGTTGCAAGGCAGACTCCCTGTCCTTTCGGTCACGGGCCGGTTTTACGTCCATTGCACGGCAAATGTTTCACCACCATTTTTACGTTTAGTTACAAGTCACGCTATCATACTTACAATGTCCTGAGCTTTAAGTAGATGAAATTGCTTTCTCATTCTAGATAATTGTTAGGCGGATTGACGGAATTGCGGAATACACAACCAGTACACTGACTACGTTCGCACTAATGAAACGATTATAGGTAGTGTTTTCGCATGCTACCTGTCTAGCAAACACTGAGACAAGTCATGTGTAACGCGGCACGAAACGAAGCATTTCAAAGTCAGTCTTCAAAGTGACACAATGCCGAATAGTATGTATGTACTGCAGTCTTCTGCTGTATTGTGAGAGAATGCGTAGTTTTAGTCCATACATCGTAAAAAGATATTTGTGCTAGGAGGTATGAACACTTTGCTTATAGCTCTGGTACGAATAGGAAGTGCTCTTTTGCGTTCCCCTTTTTGCACCTCGACCAAAACAATGATCAGCACTGCAACCACATTGCTCTCCGGAATGAAGCATTTAGCAGACACATTACCGAATTTAGCTTGGGATTATTTCCATATCATTAGTGATACAGTCTCTCACGCATTAAGAGGTTTGAACCTCACTTCATAGGCATCGGACAATTCCAAGCGTTGAACGAATCACATATTGTTTCCGACCGCTACCTGTGTCAAATAAACTTGTAGTATTTAGGTACGTTGCGATCACGTAGCTACAATGGTTAGTGGTTTCACTCATAGGTTTGCTCTTTGGCTTTCCAGTTTGCTCTATTTGTTGCTGTTATTGTGAGCTGCGCCTACTTTCACTTTCTCAGTTGGTGGCCTCTCAGTGATTCTAGCGGATGACTCGTTCGCTGGTTACGGATGTGAACCACCGCCCAAACGAATACCAAGGGAATGAGCTCTTAGGAAGTACACATTGGCTAGTTGGGATCTTTTTTGCGGTTGCAACTCATGTATGTGGAAACTCACAGATTGTAACTCGACATGCACGTTTTTAGATGAAATCGCTTGCATTCCCGGTGACCATTGCTTTAAAGTATGTGGACAACGCAGCGGATGTTCCAACTTGGCTTATCCGAAGCTGGTTGTTGGAATCATGCCTTCCGGTAAGTACGGTTTTGTGCAGCAGCTACCAACGTGTTTTCCTTTGTGCTTCGAACCTATTGACATTTGCTGGTCTGCATTCTGACATAATCGACAGCCACAAATATGTATGCATGTATAAACAGAAGAATATCTCTTTGTTCTTCGACGAGACAAAATCCAAAGTACGTTATTGCCGAACAGCCATAGCTTGCAGCTGACGTAGACAGATCTACAGAAGCCTTTACATGAATATGAGGAACCTGTCCACCGGCACTTCCCTCAAGCATACTCACCTGCTTCCAGCCCTCAAGACAATGAGTGCGTGTTACTGAGATGAGTTTACCATTTAGTTCAAAAATGATAAGAAGCATAGATCCTTGCAAACATACCAACTCTTCAAGTTGAATTGATTTCTCACCAATCCTGTATTGGATGACATCACCTGTGAAACACAACTTTGTACCTGTCGATCTGTCCCTATACGGGAACAGTCTCGCACCGTCGATAACTACAAGATTTATTTATTAATTGAAACATGACTATGTAGCTTGAAAAAAGAACCGTTTTCAGAGGTTACATTTATTTCTGCTGCACACTTATCAGACATAAGCTTCTATTTGTCACTTATGTAACGAATAAGTATCAGGCTTCAATTCTCTCCGTGTGCTCTCTGCATGCGTGCGCCCTTGGTACTCTCTCTATAACGAACTTCTCTTTCTTGCCTTCCAGGTTTACGTGGACTGATGCTAGCGGTTATGTTAGCGGCTCTTATATCTGACCTAACCTCAATCTTCAACTCAGCCAGCACCTTGTTCACAGTTGATATATACAAACAGTTTCGGAAAAATGCAAAAGAAAAGGAACTGATGGTGACCGGCCGGTATGTTTGATTGGTCACGTTTGCTCTCGGAGTCCTATTGGGTTCCAGATGGCGATTATGTCCTCTGGATCGTTCAGTTCTATGCTTTCGTTGCGGAGGCGTCTTTTTAAAGCCACCGGCCTTTAAGTTTACCACGAGCTATCATGGAATCTCGAAAAATACTCGCTTACGTTAAACGCCATACGGCACCTGGTGTGAATAATGGTGCAACTACTTCCATTTTCCATCCTAAGGTATGTTACACGTGGTTATTAATAGCAGACCACTGGATGAAAGTGGTTCTGATACGTTCTCTTACATTATCACCTATGCTTCATGATCTTTCGCCTTATGGACGACACATTGCAAGAACGTCGATAACCGGGAAGGTCCGCTCAGGTCAGTCGATAGTGTTTCATCCTTAAGTTTAGAAGCAACCGGGGGCTCTTCAGTCGTATTTTTTACTGGGGTAACTATAGTGCAATCACAACCTCCACGTTACTTATCTGCGACACGTTTCCTCCGTTCTTTAGCACCCATCCTCGGTTGATACATAGCTCATTGTTTGGCAGGCTGTGTTGAACACCGAGTGATGTGTATGTTAGCCAAGTCAATTCAGCATAAGGTTTATGCACGCAAATGGGTGCATTCTCAGCATTTACACTGCCCCTGCGGAGGTACTAAATGATGGGACCAATCGAAAATATCTAAATACGATTTTAAGAATTAAATGGACAAAACTGTACAAATGTAACTCAAGGAGCTGCATGCGGGTCGACACGAAAACGGGACAAATAAAATAAGTGATCGTTACTATACGACAAAGTGCGGGGGAATAAAACCCCAAATTTTGGACGCGTGTAGGAGACAAACAATCCCCTCTACTGCTGCTTTGCAAGTAATACGCGGACCAAACTGCTTACAATATCATAGGTTAATTGGCGGCTTAAGTTTGGCAAGTTCGTCGCCTGGTGAGGAGGCTACTCTGTGATCTGCACGATAATAACGTGTAAGTCAGTAGATAGTGGGCGGTGCTATATCACATATAACTAATTAGTCGCGCCGGTCGTTACCGTTCCCCGTAGACCAGTAGTCTCAAACACAGACAGGTAACAGGCGAGTTGCGAGTTTGAACCCCGTAAGGCTCAGATAGAATGCACAATGCTGATAATTCCCGGAAGGAGGAAACGACCGTACAGTGCTTTTTCAAACGTGTGATGGCTGTTTAACTGAGCCTAGATGTGCTGAATTTCTACCCATACCAACTTAGGATGCAGCGGATGAAAGTGGTCACTTATGAACTTGGAGAAAATCCATGCAAGCCTCAAAATGCTTACGACTAATAACGTAGACTAGGGAATCTCTTGGCAATCTGCTACATTTGAAAGTACGTTTACTCCATCCTACAACTAATATAGGTCCTTCTACAATAGTCCATGGAAGGTTACTGGGATAGTACAAGCAATGTGGTAGTATATATGCACTTACAAGCCACAAAATTAAACTACTCAGCACGACAAGCTTCTTATGCCTAAAACAGTCTGTCCTTGTAAATTAATTCGAAACGTGCGTGGACCAAGGGAGGTTTTAAGACAAACAGACACATGCTTTACAGCGTATGAAATACGCACGCTTTCGTCATTCACAGTTAATAGAGACAATTATCCGCAACTAACCATGACGCTGAAACGGAAATATTACATCAGCACATCTAAAAGCATTATGGTTGAGGGACATAGACGATGGCCAACTCACAAGTTCGTCTAAACCACATAGAAGCGGAGAAGACATCACAATGGAAAAAGGTTTGTACCCCAAAACAACGATGCCAGCATCTATACATCCAATAACTGTCAGTGGTCTTAAATGACTTTCGACATATAAAGAAAATAGAGGGTGAGAGAATCGCGACTTGACTGAATCACGGAGAATCATCAGCAATCCAAAAGTGCCCATTTATTAGAATGAATCCAGGGAGGCGGATTCCAAGTAAAGAATTCTTTTCGGTAACTCTCATCAGACTCAAGCATTACATGATGACGACAAGGTGCTAAATGCGCCGGATTAGACTGCGTATTGACCAGAAGGTTTAATTGCAACGGGAGCAAATCAATAAATCACGAGGACATTGCAGGGGGCAAATTATGTACAGGGTAAATCACAACAGAAGTTGCAGGCCACTGTAAAAGTAAAAGACGTACAGACTCTTTTTGTACGCACAACTCTGGCTTGAGGCAGTGCATATAGATAGCTTCCGCAATGGATAGGAGATGCTTCCGAAATTCACGCGAAGAACGTTCAGGGATAGTAGAAATGACGCTGAAGTCGTTTTCCATCCCTGCGTAACTGCATTATAAAATGTGCGACAAGATGCAATTGTTACAAGACCTCGCTTCGCATCTGCAATATCACTTCGGAATGTGTTCGCGAATCCTATGAGGTAGGCACCTCATAGTACGACCCATGTATCGTGCACCAAAGGAGCAAGAGTAAAGATAACCGAGCATTGATCGAGTCACCAGAAGCAGCCTGTCATTCAAAGGTTTTACGAAGAAAGGGTTGTTGTAGTATACTTGGCGTAGGCTAGCCAGGAAATAAGTCTTTTCAACAGCGTCTTTCAGGCTTTTGGACAAGGCATCATCCGCACTGTCGCCTTTGAAAGGAAAATGCACACTTAGTACTTTCTTGGGTACATTCATCCTCCGTGGTTTTATCTTGCGTTCTTTCAAATGTTTGAAGGTGAATTTATCTGGATACCCATTCGCTCTTAGAGCGTCACCGATTCTCTGCAATTCCTTGGTGATGGTGCGCGGTGTGGAAATCTTGTGTGCCCGGAACGCAAGAGTGCGGACTAGATTTCGTTTGTACTGTGGGGATACGGCACTATAGAAGTTGGTGTACTGTTCAGTTCAAGTTGGTTTTCTATATACTGCTCTGCTGCTCGATCTATCGGTGTCTCTGATGATATCAGCGTCCAGGAACGGTAGTCGGTTTCCGGAACCGTGCTCACATGTGAAGTATAGGTTCCGATCATCATCATCATCATCATCCTCATCAACAGCAGTACATCAGCCATTTGAACTGATGCTTCGCTGCCATACAACCATGAGGACCTATGGAATAAAGAATAGGAAGAGGGAGAGAAGGGGGACTTACCTGAAAACCTTAATGCCCTAAGCAAACATTCAGGGTCAAGGCGCCTACACCTTGTGTAGACAACATACCGTCACAAACAGCTGGCTATCGTGCAAAGATAAGGCGGCATCGGCGAGACAGCTTCCTTGCGGCTTTTACTGCCACGCGTCATAATCAGCCATTACCCCGCAGATAACTCAGCACCAAACACACTTTAAACAGACAATCCGATTAGGAGACGGCAGCAGACGCGCCACTGGTGTCGGTTGCGAGCCATGTCCTGTAAATTCTCGAGCCAAGCACATGGTGAGTCACGTGGACTCCAACCCGGAAGGCGAGACGGACCAACGGCACCCAGTTTGGTCGTCAGTGACTTCATTTCCCGCTGCCAAGTCAACTTCTGTCCACCTCGAGCCTTGCGCCATCCGACACCTGGCAGACTAAACAAGGCCCTGCTAGGTAAGCGGTGACCAGGCATGCGGAGCACGTGCCCGAGCCAACGCAACTTATTCAGTGCTATCTGTTGTTCTAGGGAGCTAGCATGATTATCACCACCTAGTACTCGCCTACGCACATCATCGTTGCGGACACGCTGATGCCATCCGACACCAGCAATGCTTCGCAGACAACGATGATCAAAGACTTGAAGGTGCCTCAGATCTTCAGACCGAAGGGGCCAAGTTTTACTACCATAAAGCAGAACGGCTCTCACTGTGGCCTTGCATACACGGCCTTTCAGACGGAAGGAAACTCCCTTCTGTCGCCAAAGATGACGCAGGTTCAAGAAGGCAGCTCTGGCCTTTGCAGTGCGTGAGCTCACGTCAGTTTCTATGCGCCCATCATTGCTGATGCAGCTGCCAAGATAAGGGAAATGATCAACCACCTCGAGTTCCTCGTTAGCAAGCGTCAAGGGGTCATCAAGTGGCTGGTGGTCCTGCAGCAACACTTTGCACTTTGAAGGTGCGAAGTGGATACCAAATAATGGGACCACTCTGGATAGGCTATTCAGGGTTGATTGTGCCGCCTCAACATTGTCGAAAAGCAAGACGATATCGTCCGCATAATCTAGATCAACTAAACTTTCGCCAGGCAGCACTTCAACACCTACATCGTGAGATTCCGCAAGGGAACACTCCATGATAGAATCCACGACGAAATTGAACAAAAATGGGGAAATCGGACAACCCTGTCGAACGCCACTTGTAGTCGAGAAGCTATCCGATAGGACACCGTAGATCCTGACGCGGCCTCTAGTGTTCGAGTATAGAGCACGAAGGATGTTCACATATTTTATGGGAACACCTTTTCGCGCAAGTATTTCGAACAGAACGCATCGATCGACTGAATCGAACGCACTCTTGAAATCGAGGAACAAGGCTATTGTCGGTCTGCGGTATGCGTGGCGCTGCTCTAGCACCTGCCGCAAAGTAATTATATGGTCTATACAGCCACGTCCTGGGCGAAAACCGGCCTGCTCTTCCCTAATCCGAGATTGCGATTCCGCAGTGAGGCGACGAACGATAATCGAGGCCAGTAATTTTGTCACAACTGGCGTTAGGCTAATACCCCTGTGGTTCGCAAAGTCTGTGCGACTGCCCTTCTTGTATATTGCCACTATAATCGATTCGCTCCAATTAGCCGGCACACTCTCTTCGTTCCAGATACGTTCGAATAGGGAGGTCAGTGCTTTGCAGAGGACCTCACCTCCATCCTAAAATAGTGCAGGTGGGAGGGAATCCGGGCCAGCAGCACGAAAACGATTGAGGACTGTGATCGCGTTTCGGACCTCGGCCTCCGACGGAGGCTCTAAACTAACCGTCCATGGCTCGTCCTGCATCACCTGAGTAGGAAGAGGTCCGGGAGCAGGGGGCCAGCTGAACTGATGT